CCCAAACTACCCTTAAATACACCCCACACTGAAAAAAATGAGAAATAAAAGAGATTTTCTATTTAAACCCCACAATTTTCTTTGTTTCCAGCAAAAAAAATACAAACAAATAGAACCTTAAACCCGAAATTTAATACTTTCTAGAAAAAAAGAACAACTTTACCTCTCTCCAAGAATTGTAACTGGAATTCCAACACTTGGGTATTGTTGAGTTGATAATCAACAAGCCTTTCCATCAACTCCCACGCATATTTAAAAAGGTAGGCTCGTCAATTTTCTATGTCTTTAAAAGAAAAGAGTAATCTGGCAATAGGATGTAGAGGAGTTTGTATTTTTCTAAAACTTAATATGAAGAGTGGTGGGGTGTGTGTATAGATGTATTAGGGTTAATTATTAAATTGGATGACTTTTTTGTCTTTTTATACAATAATAAAACTTACAGCTTAATGATTTAAGTATTGGGGGTGAACAAAGAGAATTGCAGGGTTTAAATAGAAAATCTCAAACTAAAAACCTATCGTAACTCTGATAGTTTTTCCCACTTCAAATTTATCGCCTAATAATTTTTGCTCCAAATAGAAACAAATCTTAAAAAGTAAATAAATAATTTCTTTTTAATTTGTATTTTAAATTTATAAACCAGTACAGGTCAGCTCGAGCTTTGGATGACCAGGGAAGTCTAACGAGACTTGAAGAACGCTCCTCCGACCAGCTTCTCTCGCTCTACTGTCTCTGACAGCTCCCCCTCCAACTCCTCAGATCGTTCCCAATTCTGTCTCAAAACGATGCCGTCTCGAAGAAGAACGCTCCTGAAGGTCATCATCCTCGGCGACAGCGGGTCCGTGTCTCTCCATCTTTCTCTCTGTTTTGCTCGTAATAGTTGTGTTCTAGGGTTTTGTGCTTGAGATTGGGTAGATCTTTCTAGATCTTACTTTACAAATAATGATCTGAAACCCTAGTTTTCGTCTCTTAGTACCAGTTTACGAATTGGGTTCTCACGAATTTAAGAGTAGTAAAATTTAAAATTGTTATACTTATTTAGGAAAAAGATTGTGTTATTTTTTTGCTGTTGTTGGTAAAACACTAAAAAGGGTTTGTTTAATTTGTGATTTGCAGGGTGGGGAAGACTTCTTTGATGAATCAGTATCCTCAGCAGCTGGAATGTTGATTTGTGTGTTTGGTTATTTAATTTTGAATATAATGCTTTTGCTGTTAAGTTTCAGCTGTTTGTTTGTTTAGATGGTGGGTTTGCCTTTAACATGATTCTTATAGATACGTAAATAAGAAGTTCAGCAATCAATACAAGGCAACGATTGGAGCTGATTTTTTGACAAAGGAAGTTCAGTTTGAAGACAGGCTCTTCACCTTGCAGGTTTCTTTAGTTCTAATTGTTATCTAATTGATTCAAAGGTCTCAGCTTTTTAGTTTTCATAAAAGGAAAATATGTGCTCATTAGAACTGAGCATGTTTGGTTGTTAATATATGGATGCATGTCTTGTGATTTGTCTATGTTGATTGGGTTTGCATTGTCTTTATCCAATTGTTGGCCCTACGTTTATGGAACCTATGCTGGTACAGCCTGCGCCAGTTGGTTAAAAAGGGGAAAAAGAAGAAACACACAAATCACCAAGTTCTTCCAACCTATCAATTTTCTTCTTGGTATTCTTGCACTAAATCAGAATTTGCGATGTTAATGATTGGAAATTCCTCTGGGACTTCTCATTAACAATTTCTTTTAGTTAAATGACCCTATGGTGGGAATAATTTATTTCACAATGATTTCGGGATGGTCCCTGCTAGGTCATGGTGTATGTTCTGGTGGTCCCTATGCTGATGAAAGTTTCCATGTGTGTGTTAGAATTGCTCAAGGACCCTTATTTCATGTTTCTGAGAATCATACATTAGTAGACCTCTATTTGGTCACTATGCGCAAGCAGTGGCAGAAATTGGACGATTGTTCACTCTGAAATATTTTCAGATGATGTCTTATAGGAAGTACACATAAAATACAAATTGCTAATTTTGCATGTGTAGGCTTGCATTTCCTCCACTGCTTTTTGTCACAACTTTCTCTACTGTCGCTATGGAGAAGGATTCATATAAATTGCTTTGTTTCTGTCCCTAAAGACTCACGATGACATTATTGATGAATCTGCATTGCCTTCATTCTCTACCCTCTGACTGTCTTTTCCTTATTATGTGTTGGGTATGTTGGCATAACCTGGCTTCAGTTTTAGTTTCAAAATATTTCATTTGATATGAACAAATAAAATCAGGTTTTGACTTGTATCTATCAACCAAAGAAGCTTGTAATGTGGGGCCTCACTCTCTCTATCTCGTTAGTGTACTGATATGAACAGCATGAAAAGAATTTCATTTTCAAGCTGTTAATTTATGGATATCAGATTATTAGAGTTTGATAATTGATTTCTAATTTATTGTTATCGCAATTACTCACTGTGAAACAACCTGTCATGTATTCTATGGAATTATATGTTTTAGCTCACCACTTCTACCATTAGGTTCTGCAGTAGTCTTTTTATGTTTTTAAATTCTTGGATAAGTTGGTGCCTAAGTGTGTTTCCAAACAGTCAACACACATTCTATTGTTTTGTCAGATCTGGGATACAGCTGGCCAGGAACGATTCCAAAGCCTTGGTGTAGCTTTTTACCGTGGTGCTGATTGCTGTGTTCTTGTTTATGATGTTAATTCAATGAAATCATTTGATAACCTTAACAACTGGAGGGAAGAATTTCTTATTCAGGTATGTTTTTGGGGTTTTTTGTTTGTTTTGTTTGTGTTTTTTTTGTTTGGGCGTGTGGCTATTTTCTTAAGTATTGGGTCACTTGCAAACTCTTCCAGTTGTCATTTCTCTTTCTGCATCAACTTCCATTTTTTTATCAATTACAAAAGAAAATTGAACTTACGGTATGATGACAACTTCTGCAGGCAAGTCCTTCAGATCCAGAAAATTTTCCATTTGTTGTCATAGGAAACAAGGTTGACGTAGATGGTGGAAATAGTAGAGTGGTATGCATCTCTTTTCGGAAGAAAATTGTCATCTTCTCTTTCTCTTACATGCATATGCACATGCACACATGAGTTTGTTATTCTATATGTTTCATATTGACATACCACTTTTTGTTAATTCTCCAGGTTTCAGAGAAAAAGGCTCGAGCTTGGTGTGCATCAAAAGGAAATATTCCATACTATGAAACCTCTGCTAAGGAAGGCATTAATGTGGAAGAAGCTTTCCAGTGCATAGCAAAGGATGCTCTGAAGAGTGGGGAAGAAGAGGAGATGTAAGTTGAACTAGAGACCGATATGCTAATGCACACATCCTCTTGAGTTTTGACAGTTCATTTCATCTACTTGCATTAACAAAATGAATCATCTAGTACTAGCCAATTATTTCCTTTCGGGAATTAAGCATCCACAATACCCCAGTTGGTTTTTACAGATCACCTGTTCATTATTTAATGATTTAGTGGTTTTCCTTAAACCAACCCTTTCATTTATCATTCCCATAAACAGCAGTGCCACTAATACCTAGAAGTTAAAACCGTTCACATAATCAAAATTGGTGTTGCAAAATGTCCTTTAGTTCCATTTTAGAGTTGTGTATGTCCTTTATTATAGGAATTATATGGTTAGCATATAAATTTCACTATAGTATATGGTAGCAGTTTTGAATTTTTTCCCCCCCTTATAGAACTCTAGCGAAACTCTAGCAGTTCTGATCCTGAGTATTACATAAATGCTACAGTTGACAGTTGTCTTTTCCAGTGGTCACCTGTTAATATCTTTTTTATTTTGTTTTCTGCTTCATGAAGATACTTGCCGGATACCATTGACGTTGGAAGCAGCAATCAGCCAAGATCAACTGGATGCGAGTGTTAAATATTCTACCGGAATTCTTTTCCAGTAAAAAATAAGTCATCTTTGGAAGTATATTTGTTGGTACGTATGCAGTGACACTGTACATTAGTGTTTGTGTGGGAAACAAATTGGTCTCCTCATCAATGCTTTTTTCAGATAGGTTGGATGGTGCCTTTCGTTCTGAGTTCTGTTTGTTCTGACCAGGTTACATTGGATTTCATCCCATTGATATCCACTTGTTAGTATGTAAAAGATCTTGGAACTTATATTTTCACCAAAATTATGCAGTTTTCATTTAATCATATTTAGTTTGTTTATGGATTGATCACGCATTTCTAGTTCAATCCTTAGAAACTTCTCCAGTCGATGAGTCTTCCATGGCTTCGAGCCGGCAATAGCTGTATCTGATCATGTTTTTGTTGTTGCTTTTGTGCATGGCTTTTCTTGGTGCTATGTCCGCTTTTCCTAAAGAGGTTGGCAAACATTCTTTATGTAGTAGCTGTAGGCACATGAAAAACGAAAGCACAACTTCCATCAATAAACAGAAACAAATGAATATATCAGGAAGAAAACTAAGGTCGAATTAAAATAGATAAAACACATGAAGCCTGCTAAATGGATTCAATTTAAAAATATAGTGTTTCACGAAAATTATACATGGTATATATGACACCAAATGGCCCTTCATATAGTGGTATTTCTCTTTTCTTTGTTAAATTCTCCTTCCCCTTCCCATCTCAAAATTAATTGGCAATTGGAAAAGTAACCCAACTCTTTATAAATCCATATTAGGTTTTTTAACTTTTCTATGTGGGACACTTCTCAATACGCTTCTGCACATGCAGTGTACTTTCAAACCTAATACGGGAACAACACGTATTGGGTTGTATTGGGTCACTCTCGACAAGGTAAAGCCAATTGCAGAAACAAAATATTTTCATACAGAGACTGTAGTTCACCTGGCTTCCAAAAATTTCAAGCAGAAATTTGACTTCAATGGAAGCTTACAAAGGAAAAAATTTGACCTTGCATATGCGTATTTTTGGTCTCCAAATTACAGAGAGGTTGATGAGTGGTTTCGAGAACCATCGAATATTTCGTTGACAAATGAGAAAGTCAATGGAGCACATCAGATCGTTTGAAACTCAATTACACAAGACTCATAAATAGCATTTTAAATATGGGATTTCGGGGTGGTCGGTGGTCATAAATTATATTTATAAAAAATAAAAAAAAATCTTTCCTCGCCCAACTTTCCCTCCTTTTTCCTTTGCTTAGCATTTCACCCTACAATTTTTACAGAGCTTAAAGATAATGTTACAAAACAGAGCATAGTGGATTGCTGAAAATCTCTCCAGAAAGCCCTTTGTCTTGTTTATCAATGGCAATTTTGGCAACATGGGCAGAGGCTTTTTCAGTTGTAGCACAATATCTAACTTCTTAAAAAGCATTCCCGAATCTGCCGTTCTCGAACTCATTTGGTACAAAAGATACGTGATCACCCCGCTCCACAGGAATGGATTAATTATATTCACATGTTCTCGGGTGTTTTACTTCGACCCGACTGAAGAAAGTTTGTCCTGGCTGGGAGGCCTTACTGAACTTCCTGCCAAGGCTGTGGGTGAAAATTGGTTTGAGGTTGGAGCCGTTGGCCCCATGGGTCTTGACATAGGTGGCCTTAGGGAAGTCATGTTTAGTGGGGGTCTTGGAACTGAGTTTGCAACATTCATGGCCATTCTATTGGCAGGCATTGACGATGGCATTGGTCTAGATGAGGAACCTGGTAAGCCAAGGCGGGCTGCAATTATCTGTGCCCGCTCATGGTAGAGCTTCTGTCTTGACCTGTCCAATTGCTCCCTCACCCTCATTACAACATTTTCCATCTCGCTAAAGAAACCTAATTTCGCTTCCAACTTATGCAACTGCAGTTAAACACAAACCTCCGAAAATAAAAAACTATATTACTAATAACAAACAATAAAGAGGGAATTTGGAATTGGGATGACCTGCTTCTCTATCAACATTGCTGCAAGTTGTCGGATTTGATCTTCTTCCTGTTCTGCTAGAAGTTTTGCCTTCACTGCAGCTGCTGAGATTGCAGAAACTGCAGCGTGCTTTAGTTTATCAATTTTCTGATCCACTTTTGTCTCTGTAGTGTCATGTTTTTCACTTTTACCATCGTTAGTTTGATCCTCACCTGCAAAGTACAAACAAATGAGACATCAGTGAATCCAAGGCATTCAACTTGAATTTTGTGAAACTCAACTAGTTGAACAAAACGTTTTCCTCTTTCAACTTGATTTTTTGATCCAAGCTAACTAGCATGCACAAGACCCATTTCCCATATTTTTATTTGTATTCGGCCAGAAGAACTCCAATATGACGTAAATACCCCTGTGTCTGCGTGTGCATGGGTGTGAGAAGAGAGGGAGAGAGGAAGGTGTACTTGCTCCAGTTTCAACCATTGTATTCGATGCAACTGGTTGCTGAGAATCATCCTGTTCTGGGGGCTGAGGGTCAGACACCATGTCTACATCCTTTGATTCCTCTGTAGGTTGCGGAGGTTCTTCTGATTTGGCAGTAACCGGTTGCTGAGGCTCATTTATTTGTGAAGCCGGAGAATTGGACACATCCAGATCTTTTGATGCCTCTGTAGAACGGGGAGGTTCCTCAACTGAATTTGATGTAACTGGCTGCTGAGGCTCATCCTCTGTTGAGGGAAGTGAATCACACATATCCACATCCTTAGGTGTGTCTGTAGGTTCAGAAGGCTTTCCTACTGAAATTCCCTCTCCTGACTCCTTCTCAGAACTTGGTGGATTATCTGCCTCGAGTTTTGAATCATCCAACTTCCCCACAGTAGTTGGTGATTGGTCCTTTGGTAACTCTAAATTGTCTGATTTGTTCAAATTATCAGCTCCTACTTCTTCATGAGAAACTATGCCATCCTGTTCTTCTGCAGATTGTGACTTTTCTTCGGGAGAAGGTTTTTCAAGTTTCTTGTCACCTTTATCGTTTGATAAATCTTTATCTTCTAAACCTGAGGTGGCGTTATCTTCTTTCTCGCTTTTGTCTTCATCGACTATGTCTTCCTGGACTTTGTCTTTCAGCACTTCAGCAGCAACACTGCAATCCATCACTGACATCAGATAGAATATACACAAACCAATAGAGGATAAATGCTCGACACCAAAATCACATACCTATCAGGACCAGCTTGTTCCTTATTGTCACTTGGTGGGTCTTCCAATAGAAAGCAATGCCTTGCAGCCAGCTCAGTGCCAGGAGAACTGGCAGATATGGATTTCAAAGAATTATGCGCTGAAGCAATAGCAACATCAGGTCCCACCAAACGTGCAAGGAATGCTGCCTGTAAAAGAGTGCAACCTATAAGTAGTGACACATTAATAGTGATTGAAGGCCAAAGTATCATTTATATGTTTTGCTTATTGCAAGGTGATGCTTAAGCCCCAGGGTTAGGAGCAGGTCCCATGAAATACATTGCATATATGCATCATAAATCTATTGATGCATGCATGCACACATAGACATGCATACATCATGCATACAATTAAACAGGCATGCATGAATAATGTATAATGCAATAGAATTGGGAGATCAATTCAAATGCTTCTACAGGAAAACAGTGAAAGGTATCAAATTCGGACATATAGTTATCTCAGATTTTGGCAATAAGCAGGAAATTTCTGAATGCGCCTGAAGTTGATAACTTGAAATGTAGGCAGAGTAAAGCTATAAAATTACTGCAAGTCGTTGAAATTTGTAAAAAAAATGGGTACTTTGATTAAATATCACTACCAGTTATTTACTGTTAAGCTAAACTGACATTCGGCTAACCATGTGAAGTGTAAGCTATCCTGCGTAACCCAATGCTGCATCATTTCAGTTTATTTCAGAAGCACTTAAACGCTCATATGTGAGTTCATAACTTAATCTTTAAGTTGGTTATTAATCTATGCATTTCTGTGGAACAACTGGTCCAACAGATTTACTTTACAGTCATGTGTCACTAAACCACCAACAGATGCACCAAACATCCACACATAAGCATTCAACTTACCAATGCCATGGCAGGGTTTCCCACTTCTGCAAATGAAAGTTGACCTTCAGATGTTGGAGGATAACCAACAACTTCAAACGCTTCTTTAAGAGCATTCAGTGCAAAGCTCTCATCTGTCTCCTGATCAACTTTCAATTCCCCAGTATCTTCCAATTTTGAAGTTTCCTCACCCACTTTGACTTCATTTACATCCTCTGGCTTTGAAGTATCTTGTCCAACATATACTTCAGTCACTTCTTTTGAAGTTTCCACTGGGGAAGTTTGGGGGTCACTCTCACTAGCACCAGTCTTATTCTCTGTTGTTTCGGGGGCATCCTTGGGGGCCAATGATTCATTGTCAGTTGAAGTAGGATCTGCAGTTTCTTTTGCACTAGCATCAATATCATCCTCATAATCAAGAAAGGTGTCCTCAATTGGCATTTGAACAAAGTGCAATATACATTGAGCTTTTGTTTTTGTTGCAACATGTTCGGCAATCTCATTCCAGTTTTCTTTATAAAGTTCTAGTGCTTCAAGGAGAAGGAGAGTCTCCTGATCCGTCCACTTCCCACCACTTACCCCATGAGCTTCAGCAGGCTCCATAAGAATGAAATCTGATGAAGACATACCAGAGTCGAATTTCCCATTACTAAAACAATCAGTACATAGATCAAAATCTGCCTGTTAAAATGAATGCAATCAGTAAACAGAATAAATGTTAATAGGGAACTGAAACATGAAGCAGATAATTAATATATAATCATAACATCCACTTCATCAAACAGAAATTTTCATCAGCCTGACATGAAAATCATTCTAGATAAAGTTCTCAAGGTGGGATGCCTTTAAGACAGTAGCAAAGTGTATTCACCAGGCAGAATTAACAATTTAATATCAGCAGATGATAGCTGCCAACATCCCAGAGATGAAAACAATCATGTATCTGACAGATTTGATTTGGATAGTTTGATCACACCCTTCAGACATAGCAGAAATACGAAACAATGGAAAATTTTGGTAAAATTACTTTAGCACCAATAGGAATATTCTACACTTTAGAATTAAAGAAAGCCACAGTAAGATCGAAATGAAGGTCAGAAAAGTGTATCCTTCCATTAGCAAGCACTGCTACAAAGTTCAATATAAAATCAATAACTCCTATAAAAGAACAAACCTGCTTCTGGCAATGGTAGCGCTTGCGTGAGCAATCAGCTGAACAAGAGTTACAATGGTACTCAACAGCTGGCCCCTCAGGCCTCACCAACTCTTCAGCAATTGCAGACTCAGGAAACAACCCAGATGGCACAGTTGGGGTTGTTATATTAGTCTTTGGAACAACTGATGAGCGTGATTGTAATGCTTCAAAGTGATACAACTTATCAACCAAAGAATCCTTTTCTGCCACCCCATCACCCTCGGCACTGGCCACAGCAGAACCTGTTGGTGGGGACGGGTCGAAATTAATTAAACCCCAATGGTCCAAAAATTCCATTACTTCTTGTCTAGCATCAAAGTCGCCAACTTCAAGCTCCAACAAATCCTTCAATTCAATAAATACGCCTGGATTCGCATGGAATATCTTCATAATACAATTACGTATCTCCAAGTATACATCAGGAGTTCTCGTCTCAGACTTCGCATTAAAGAAAGATGGCAACATTTGCTCCTCAATGGGGTGAACCTTTGTCCATGAAAACCAACCTGGAAGCCAAAACAATGGTTCAATCAAAATGCAAGGTAAAAACACCGCAAGGCTTCCTCCCCTCATGATCAAAACAATGATCTTAAAACACAAAGCTCAACATTAGTGTTCCCTTAGCTCCATTTAAATAATGCCTAAGAAATTAATTCACCATAATGAATTTCGCCCAGTGTTTCTTTTCCAGGGTAGCTTCACTAAGCAACATTTCAAAGTAAAGTTCCTGAATTTAAGAGCTGGAACAAGTTCAGCACCAGGAAATTTAGCTCATCCTCTAAGTTTTACTAACCAATAACAACACATTACACGCAATCACAACCCAAACAGCAAAAAAGATCAAAACTTTCACCCAATTTTAATAAAAATGTGCACAAAAAGACGAGGGTTTTCACAAGAGCCAAAGATACTCACCACAATGACTTGGAACAACATGAGCATTCGCATTGCGAGATCTAATGGCTTCAAACTCAGCCTCCATAGAAGCCTCCAGAGCCTCCAACTCGCTCTCCCTCTTCACCAGCTCTGCCACCGCCTCTCCCACCGGGTCGGGCCGCTTGGCTACCGTCGGCTTCACGGCAGCCCCAGACGCAGAAGCCGAACCGAGGCTGCTTGGACCCTGGCGGGCCCGGGTCAACGGGCCATTGTGGATCGGAGGGTGAGAGAGCATAGCCTTCTCGCGAGTGAAGCGTTTGGACGGCGTGGATGAAGAGGTGGAGCCGCCGAGGCTGCTGGCCTTTCTCTTCTGGGCTCCGCCGCGGCGCCGAGCAGAAGATGGCTCAGCGGCCTGAGCGTCGGCATTTGACGGCGGCTGAGCTCCGGCGGCGTCACGGCGCTTCTCTTCCATGGATTGATGATGTTTGTGTTTTTCTGGGAGGGTTTGGATCGCGAATCTGGGGGTTTTTTTGGCTCTGCACTCGCAGATATACACAGTTGAGCACTATTGCTGTTAATTGTTACTGCCACTCTTAATTTTCTTGCTTCCACGCTAGCGAGCAAACGCTATTCCTATCTGATGGAATTTGGAGTGCGAACAAGTTTGGAATTAGCGAAAATGATAGTGCTATTAGTAGTAATTATTTTCTCAATTATTGCTGTGGGGTGATTCTATTGCCACCCCCCAAAATGCTCTCTCTACCCACTATCTCAACAATTTCTATTTTTGGGTTAAATGAATTTTTTTTTTCAAATATAAAGAGCATTTTCTTTCATTTTCTTTCCCTTTTTTCTTTTTTTCTTTGACGCGGAAATTCAAGCCCTTCTCTTCTCATTGTCTTTATTTTCTTTCATTATTTTTCTCTTTCTTCTTTGACGAACTTCAAACTTTTGTCTTGTTGTTGCTAGTTTTTACTTTTCAGTTAAAATTGAATAAAAAATTATTTTTACAGGGTTAGTTTTGGGATGTTTCAACATTTGTTTGGGTGTCCAGATAAAATTATGAAATTTTAAATTTTGGACATGAAATAAATTTTTTCGAAGAATCCCACTTACAATTTATAAAAAAAAACATATTTGGTATTAGATTTCGTTTTCTTTTTCAAAATATATATATTTGGTAATAGATTTCATTTTGCAGTTTTCAAAAGGAAGTGTTGGAAGCGGATGGTCTTCCAGGACCACCAAACTAATGTTCTTATCTATATTTTGTACTAAGTTAGCCTCTCCACTTGCTTGCTTTGGCTAAGTGTGTGCTGGCTTAGTTTTTATGTTTTGTTCGTGGCTTTTGCCTCTTAATGAAGTTCCTTTTCGTCCAAAAAAAAAAAGTTCTCAAAAGGGTGAGATCTAGTTTTCAAAATCACCTTTGGTTTTCACTACACATGCATTACACTCTAGTTACCGAAACTTGTCTTTGGGACCTTTCGACTTAGGCCCAGCCGCTTGACTGTTGCGTTCAACTGTGGACCCAAACCAAGTCTTGGGACCTCCAAATCCAAAATTCACAAAAAAAAAATCATAATTCCAAAAACTTTACCGAAAAGTACTACGCACACTTTGTGACATGCACTTTCATTCTATGATCTCAAATTCACAATTTGATCTCGAAAAAAAATTTCATTTCCAAGTTTCACATAAAACTAAAAACTGAAATTAGTTACTAAACTCGGCACTCTCATTCCTTAAGAGAGGTCAGGGGTTCGATCCCTGCTCTCGTACGGAGTCACCACTTTGGCCAGCACTTTATCCTTTACGGGCTGACCCGGTGTGAGCGGGGATTAGTCTGGGTTGTGGTTAAGGCTTAAAGGTGACACCCATAGTTGGGGCCCATCCAGGACCACCTCGTTGTTCAGACTAAAAAAAAAAAAAAATTAGTTACCAAACAACTTTTAACTAATTTTAAATTTTTTTGAAAACTAAAATTGGTTACCATACAAATTTTATGTTTTCAATTTCTTAAAACTGAAAACTGAAATAGTTATCAAACGGACCTTCACTTTCTACAATAAAGTTTTTGTTTGTGATACCTGAAAAGCATATGAGTGATGACAACTTTAAGTTTAGCAGTAGGGGCAAATTAATTATAAGGGAATTGACATATACATGGAATATGCATAAGTGTTTTGCTTTTTTTAAAAGGGACAATCCTAGAGGCTGAACTGTGGGGTGTTTTTTGGGGCCTCAAGTTGGCTTGGAATATGGGTTTCAGAGTTGTGGAAGTTGAATGTGATGCTAGCTCTGTGGTGGCCCTCCTTCAGAATGCTCCTATGTATGATCATCCTCTTTTTAGTCTTCTAAACTGCTGTCATCTGAAGCTTCATGATGACTGGACTTGCTCTCTTACCCATATCTACCGTGAGCAAAATCGTGCTGCTGATCTTCTGGCTACCAAAAGCTATGATCTCCCTCTTGGACCTCATATTTTTGACTCGGAGCCTGCCTTTCTTAGTACTGTCCTTGCTGCTGATACTAGCAATGTGGCTAGTCCTCGTTTAATTCCCTTATAGTTGCTGTTTCTTTTTTTGGGCGTTAGCCCTCCTTTGCACCAAAAAAAAAAGACCATTCTAAAGGACTTGGACTAGAATGTCAGACTTCGAGTTCTGCTTTATTGTTTGCAGTGTTGAGGCCAGCCCCCAAAGCCCCAAACCAATCGATGCCTCGAACCGAAGTTTGAGTTGAGAGTCAGAAACAACTACAAGTTTGAGTTCTCAGACCAAGGCAAGAGGTAGAAAAGAAATCACTTTTGAGACACCGAAATATCACATTTGTGAAGATGAGTTAACTTTTCATTTTTGAGTCAAATCCCCTTTCGGAGTACAAGTTGTATTTGTAATTTTCATAGATGGAGCATCCAAAAAACACCCTTAATAAAAATCAAATTTGTATATCTTTTTTTTGTTACATTGGAGAAAAGAAATCTCATTAGGGTTCGATGCCATGGGGAGGAGGGGGAATCTACCACCACTGTTGTGGGAACCTATTGGCCAAGTTTGTATATCTTCGGTGCCATGTGTTTGATATATACATTAATTTTTCTTTGGAGTTCCCCATTTATTAATTTTTCTCAAAGACTAATTGGCTACAAAAAGTTAGCAAAAACACATTCATAGCTAAAGCTATTTATTAATTCAGGATTCCAAATTACATTCCTGACCTAGCTTAGACACATAAACACCAAACCGTATATATCTTACGTTCATAAAACATAGGCTTCTTCAGAGCCAATTTATTTATTTTTGTTACATAGAACAAAGGGGCCGAGGTTTCAACTCCACCTTTAGATTCGGGGGTAAATGCTCTCTAACACTAGAACTTGGTACGAGCTTATTTTATTTTTAAATAGCACCAACTCACACTTGATGATGTTCTATTAGTCATTGTAAAAATAAATATATATTTCCTTGGATCAAAGTCTTCATCAAATGACTGCTTATTTTCTTCTGACTCAAGTGGCTGCTTTTCAGGGTAAGCCTGGGACTTTGGCTCAGAGTCTTTGGCAGAGAACTCTGCTTTGCCTTCTTCATCATTGTAAGCTGAGATAAACGGTCTGGGTTCAAATTCCATAGTCTCAACAACAGGTTTTTCTGTATTTTCATGGCAGTTGGCTTCTTTTTTTGGTGTTGAATCAGAATGTTCAACAAGGAGGCCTGGCATAAAGGGTTGCTCTAATGTCCTGATATATTCCCAGTCAATTCCTGCACCTCCTCTTGATTCTATAGTTTTAGCAAACTGCTCCACAAGACAGAAAAGCAACAAACATAAAGTTTACCGAAATTTCCAAGGCGTTTAAAGATATCATCTTACGTTTCAAATCATATTGTAGGTATTGTTAAGTTGTCAGATTGTTAATTTCGACCACACTTCTAAACAAAATAAATAGTTAAAATTGATAACTTAATTAACAATACAATATATCAAATTTTCTAATAAGAGAACATTGTCGTGGAATTGTATAAGATTTTAGTGCCGTTTTGTAATTATCAAGTTGTTGACTTGAAATTGATGACATATTATAAGAAACAAGAGGAAAAGGGAGGATACAAATGCTTACCAAAAGAAGAGAGAAGAGAGCTAAGGTGGCACAAAGGAACTTCATGTCTAAAATGCAACGCAAAACAGTTCTTTGTAGGTGTGTGTATTGGGATATGTAAAACCTCATATTACTTATAGATTTACCAGGAGAATATTTGTCTTGAAATGGCTTCTTTTTTTGGTGTTGAATCAGAATGTTCAACAAGGAGGCCTGGCATAAAGGGTTGCTCTAATGTCCTGATATATTCCCAGTCAATTCCTGCACCTCCTCTTGATTCTATAGTTTTAGCAAACTGCTCCACAAGACAGAAAAGCAACAAACATAAAGTTTACCGAAATTTCCAAGGCGTTTAAAGATATCATCTTACGTTTCAAATCATATTGTAGGTATTGTTAAGTTGTCAGATTGTTAATTTCGACCACACTTCTAAACAAAATAAATAGTTAAAATTGATAACTTAATTAACAATACAATATATCAAATTTTCTAATAAGAGAACATTGTCGTGGAATTGTATAAGATTTTAGTGCCGTTTTGTAATTATCAAGTTGTTGACTTGAAATTGATGACATATTATAAGCAACAAGAGGAAAAGGGAGGATACAAATGCTTACCAAAAGAAGAGAGAAGAGAGCTAAGGTGGCACAAAGGAACTTCATGTCTAAAATACAATGCAAAACAGTTCTTTGTAGGTGTGTGTATTAGGATATGTAAAACCTCATATTACTTATAGATTTACCAGGAGAATATTTGTCATGAAAAGCATCAAGGCAGGACACTAGAGTCATGTTGGGTTTGGCGATGAATAAGATTCAAGACGTATGCAGGGACAACGACGATGAATATAATAAATACCATGGTACTAATCGCAATCAGGTAAAACTAGGGTATTTGTTTTGATTATCAGAAGAAATCAACGGATCTAGCAAGCGTTTTTTGAAGAAGTACAAACAAAAATTTGGATTTTTAACAAAAAATTGGACGTTCTTCAAATAAAAGCGCTTATGAGCTGAAAACGGGCCCTAACTAGCTACATTTAATTAAATAAATTATTTGCATTATATGACTATAAATAAATAAATTTCTTTGTAGTTTCCCATGTATTATTCTTAAAGTTTAACGCTACAAAAATATTACAACAAAGAGAAGACTATTGCCAAAACCACATTCATGGTGGCCAAAACATTCCTTTTATTAACTTAGAATTGAAAATTACATTCATGACTTAGCTACGTACAACATAAAACAGACATAAAACAGACATTTTCTCTCAAAGCCAATGGCTTATTTTTTTAGTACATAGAAGCTTAGAAGCTAAGTACAAGCCTGGCAAGCTTATTATATTTTACAATAACACCACCAGAATTGCACCAATTCAACCTCTTAGTCATTGTAAACCGAAAGATTTGGCCTTGGCTCAAAATCTTCCTCAAATGGCTGCTTATCTTCTTTTGCTG